AAAGAAACCACCCCAAACAGCTGGGAAGTTTTCGTCTTCAGCCATGGGTTATTTATGACAAAATGGTGCTTCCAGTTTGCTCTTCATATGGGAGGTCTTCTCTAAATCTCTTTCTTGACTGAACATCAATTTTTGGATCACTCACTGTTAGTGTTCTTACCTAGTAAAAAAAGTATAAAATAGATAGCAGACTATAGTCGACTAGTAGCATGTAAATACACAGAAAAATTGTGAAGACATGGTAGTCATTACTGTTACAGAGAACTCCTCAGTTAAACACTAAAAAGGAATTGTGGGACTTTTTTTACCCAATAATATTTCATTTTTTTATCGTATTTCAACTTCTTTGTTTTCAGAGATATTTTTCAACTTAAGAATGTAAAACAGTTGCGAAGTAGACTCAGAGCCTTTTTAAAGAAGCATACAGACCAAGGCATGATCATATGTAATGCTGCAGAACAGCAACCTTAAGTCTCGTTCATATGTTTGAAGATCAGCAATGGGAGATGAAAAGTCCTGGCTGTGGTGTGAGAAAAGTTGCATCTGATATCAAAGAGCAAACACCCATAATCAGCACTAGTAAATGATTAGTCAAACATTTAAGACTTAGTAGCATCCTGGAATTCAGATTCCGGTTTAATAATGCTTGCCATAAAGTCAGGAAAAAAGAAAAAAAGATTGGATAGATTTTAAAGATCCTATCTTTTATATAAGCTACTACGCACGTGGCTAGAGTGACAAGTATGCAGGCTGTAGCATGCTGTACATTATAATGCTAGAGAATATGTTAATTCTCAGTCTCAAACCTTGCAGTCCCTCCCAGGATTTTTCATACTTCACCTGTTTCAGTTTTTCAGTTTACTTTTTTGCAATTTTTATACAAGTTCTTTCAGTTGCTGACTTAAACAATTTGTTCCATATCTCAACCCTCATTTTGTGTAAAGAAATCATAAAAGTTAGGAACCTGAAAATTGGATTTTTCTTTTGAGCAGCTGCTGTCCACAAATGTGGAAAGATTGTTAAAAGTGAATAGCATCACTTTCTAACAAACTGTAGGCAGGTTTGATGACTGAATCTCATCTTTCCATTACTGTGCTGTCACCAAGCATTATTATGTTGGCACTTATAGACACATGGAAGAAAAAGAAAAGGTCTTTTGGGGGTTTAAAGATGTATTTGTACAACCATGGATGTCAACAGTCCTTCTTCATTGTTGACCTACTCATGTTGAATTACATTTATTATTAAACAAAGATTTCTTGATTAAAATGTGGTCTATAATGTGTTGCAGAATACATTATTGTACCTTTACAGAGCACTAGGTAAAGGGAAATTATATATATATATGTTATATATATGCACAAGAACCCAAGTGTTTATTAAAAAATCCTTTTAGTGTAGCTGACTCCCTAAGTCTTCGTACTTGTGCTTCTGGTGACCTGATGGGGACTAGATAGATCTCTGTTTAACTTATTTTGAAAATCCTTTCATAATACTTTTATTTCTGTATTACCCATTTTTACACAGTACATTTGTTTCAGTATGCTGACGTTCTGAATCAGAGGCATCTGGTCTGTTGCTGTGCCTCCACCAGGGTGCCACTATTAACAAATTTTTCTTCCCATGGCTGTTGTAACAACATCTTCTAATAGTTTCCACTTAGTTTTCTGTTGAGGATCCAGTTTTACAACATTAAATATTTGGCTGAATTTATAAAAGTTTTAAAAAGTATCTCCATATATGAATTGCTTCTGATTTTGGTTTGCTTTTGGTTTAGTTGGGGTTTTTTTGTTTGTTTGTTTTAGATCATTTCAGCTAATATTTTAAAGCTATTCAATTTTTTTTCCCAGAATCATATGTACCGTTCTTTTAATTTGTATTCATCAAAGCACTTCTCTTCCCAGCGTAATTATTTGTATTTTTGTTACCCACAAAATCAATTTGTATGATTAGTTTATGCAGTCACAGAATATTTTTCCAAATTTGATAATACTTTAAGTGGAGCCCAAGTGTTGCTGTTTACTTTCGTGCTACAGGATCATAGGAAGGCTCAGGAATGATGTGTTTTAGTAGGTACTTTTATCCAAGTTTCCATCGGGGTTTGTATGTGTACGTGCAACATAGGTTCCATGTGGAACTTATATTCACTAAAAGTCTTTAAGATTGTACCAATTGGTAAAATTGTACCAATAAACATTGTAATGATTTTACAAAAATTTTAATTTATACAATTTTACTGAATAAAATAGAACATTGTTTGGGTAAGGTTCTCGGATACTTTGTATTAAATCAAAGAAAGAATATATTAATTTGAGGAATGTTGTTTTTTCCTTATTCTGAGTGGTTACCTTTCTAAGACTAAGAAAAAACCCATCTGTTCTACAATTATATATTATTGTCTCCCGACAGGTCCAAGAATCTTCAAATCTGTTCATGGTATAAGGGTTTCAGGATGTCCTTCTTGACCTTTCAAAAATACACATTAGTACATCTGGCAGAAAGTAATTTTATTCACGTTAAATGGCAGAGGGAAGGATGTCCTCACAGTCTGTACAGGGACGAGATTGTTGTGTCCCCAAGGAAGCAGCAGAGCTAGCAAGACTCACTTTAAAGAGGCATTGCTAGTTTTCCTGAGTGTTCAGTTCATGAATTGCAGATGGGTCTTGTGGGTAAATCATTCTGTATGGCATTTAGGCACATGTCAGATCCATTCTCTCATTTTGGTACTGAGCAAATCCTTACTGAGCAGTCCTTACCTATTTCTTTGTTTCCTGCTAGATTTCATATAGCAGAAGCTTTCTTCTATGGTACAAACACAGCATTTAATGTCTGGTTGGAGACTCAGGCTGGATCGGATAAATCATTATCCTTTTCGGTATATCAAATATAAAAATTCTATTTAGGAAACTTTAGGGAACAGTTTAGAGTCACTGTTGGTGTAAGACCTTAGGATCACTTAATTTGCTTTTCCTCTTCTGAACAGTTTCTATGTAGGGGAAGGAAAGAGAAAGGGAAATATTACTTTGGAAGCCACACAATTACCTGAGCATGTTGTACGTGTTTTAATATTCCTTCTGCACAGTCCATTTTAGCAATATGTATAATGCAGATGATGTTAGGCTGCAATGGGACTGCTTTTTCTATTGTAAAATTCATGTCACTCATTAACTTGTCTTCCTAGAAAATGGAGTTTTGAAGGCACATAGATATCTAGAGGTAGTAACTACATCAGTAGATTTTATTTCTTTTTCTTGAGTGCTTTCACTAAGAAGAGACTTCTAATGAGAAATTTGTTCTTCGCTTAATTATGCAAGCTGCTGCTTTAACTGCATGTCTCTGTATGCAATCCAATCAGTATACAAGTGAAAAAATACCATCCAAACTTTTGGGTAGGAGTTTAGAAAGCCAGTTATAACAGATTTTCAAAGAACTTCTGATACAGAAGTTAAAGGCAAGAATTTCACATGGTTGTAGCTAGATGTGTATCTTGAAAATTTTCTTTTTTCTAAAGAGTTTGTAACTGAACAAAAATGAAACTCTGTGGAGCTTTTAGCTTGCTTTTGGTGATACGTGCTGTCGTTACTGGAAGTGATATTCTCATTCGCTTTCGTTAATCTCATTAAAGAGAAAATGATAGTAGGCCTTTACCTGTCACCTTCAACTTGGTGAAATTATATAACTCTAGTCTCAGGTTGGAGAGCCAAATTTAAGATCAGACTCTGCAAGTCTTTTCCATCCAGTACAGTCAGTGAATAACAGCTTGTTAAAATAAAGTATGATTATTTAGAACAAAAGCACTTGTGGGGGGAGACTTTTAAGACAATAAAATACTCAAAACACATAGTCACCAGCCAGGTGAGCATGCTAACAGATTATCTAACCACTGTCCATATAAAAAGCCTGAAAAATAAAAATCCTCCACTGACCTTTGTTGTCAGCTTGATAGCTGATATACTGTACCTACTAGCTATCTGACAGCACACTGTTCTGTTCTGGTGACTCAAAATTGTGGGCAGAAAAAAGTCATTTGTTCATAATTTGGTAATAAATATTGCTACTTCCAACTCCTAAAACTAGGAATTCTAACGAGCATCTTTACTGGAAGCTACCTGACAGGGACTTGAAGTTGCTAGATTCGGTTGATGTCATTTAAATACATGCTTGGATGCTTCTTATCTGAGAAACAGTTGAACTGATTCCTTGTTTGCTCTTCCCTAACCCTTCAAAATAAGTTAAACTAATATATGCATAAATCTTACATGCCTTACTTTCCTTGAGTTCTCATTTTTATTATATCTAAAGCTATTGTATTGTAGTGTTTATTACCTCCTAAAGACTACGAGTCATTATTCTGAAGCCCATTTTTTTTCCCTGTGAGAAACTCTAGTCAAGGTTGCCTGAGCTTTATGTATCTGCTTGACTAACATATAAATTATTGTGAGTGTTAATTATTTTTCTGCTAGGTAAGGTGTCAGGACAGAAAAAGCAACATTAACAGTCTTATATTGGCTTTAAACCAATAGATAGTAATTAAGCAGTCTTAAAATATTAAGAAAGAAACATTATTAACTAGACTTCATGAGTTACTAGGAAAATCCCACTTAATCTGGTAAGAATGTAGACTCCTATCTCTTTTTTAAAATATACTGTAAAATCTAAGTGAATACAGAAGAATAGTATCCTTCTATAGCTTTATAGAGGAAAATAGCTTACCCTTGAATAATTCGATGGGTTAAAAAATGAAGAATGATTGTCATTTTATATCTAGTTTTATAAGTTCTTTTAAAATTATTATTACAAGTTTACTTGGTAATTTTATGTTAAGAATAACAACAATATTTGGAAGGTCTAGACTAAATTCTTCGTATTATTTGAAACAGCAAACAATCTTTCTGGTTTAAATCAAGCTGGCACAAAAAAAGAAATCCCTATACATGGTCTTCTCAACAGTTCTACATGCTTTTTTTATTTGTTTTATTTTTGTATTTGTGTGCAACTAGGCACTACTACAGGATCTGGAGCAAAGACGTCCCCAACTGGATGAACTAATAACTGCAGCACAAAATCTAAAAAACAAGACGAGCAATCAAGAGGCCAGAACGATAATTACTGACCGCAGTAAGTGGTGATTCTGCTATCATATGATGTTTCAGCAAATATGGAAAATCTTGTAATACCTGATAAGCATAGAATTTTTCAGATTCTTTATGCATTTGCCATGAGAAGGGGAGTTCCATCAGGAGACAGTTCTCACACAAATTTTCCACATTGCATACAGCAGAAATGTAAGTGAAAGTCAGTGATCATATATTTCAAATTTTTCACTTTAATTTCATATTGCTTGTCTTCATAGTGGAAGCATATTGTAGAAAATATAGAACGTGATTATTATAGATAATGAAATACATTTATTCTTAAACAAGGAGGAAAAAGAAAGAATTCACAGAGTATAGCCGCAGGCTTGTAAGAAGCTTTCAATTCCGTCCTCCGTAGTACAGCTGCAGCCTCTTCTTTCATCTCCCCTCAGCTGATGCACAAGTCCGATAGCACTCTGTATTAGTCTGTATTAGTTCTTCAGTTCTGGTTTTCCTTTCCAGAATTAACCAACTAGCTGTGCCTAAGGTGGAAAAATTAGTAGATTAAGTTTTAGAAGAAGTCTATAGATGACATAGTCTTGTCACCCTTGGATGCTTGTGTGTCCTTATGTCCTTCACTATAGGATGAAACACACTCTCAAGGTCATGCTATAAAAGCAAGCCTCTATGGTAGACTGTTATATATCTTCAGTTATTATTTTGAGTACTCAGGACTAAAAAATTCTAAAAAATAAAAGAATTTCTTACGGTCCTAGAGGTCCCCTGTGGAGCTTAGAGAAGACCCGGGCCAAATGCTTTGCATGTGGACACAGCCAGTTCGCTTTAGGTGGATGCAAACTGTTCTGTACATCTTGACCTGGAGACCAAGGATTGCTCCCCAAAACTGATGACTGTGAAGGTGTATACACAGGCTAAACTTCCCTACCCCCATAATTAAAAAAAAAAAATAAATATATATATATATACACACACACATTATCTTTTTCTTTTTATTCGATCGTGTAAATACTTTCCATAATATGTCAAAATCACATTGCATGATTGGACTGCATTGTTGTTAGTAGCAGATAAAGATACTATTTAGACTATATCCTATGTGAAATAACATTGTTTAACTGCTATTGTCTTCCTGGCCTTGAAACATATTACTGGGAGAGAGAGAGAAGCTGTATTTGTCTTATTTGAAGCTTGAGAAGAAATGGACAGTGCTTATATATTACATAAGTACCTGTTCCTGTTTTACATGTAAATTAATTTTAGAATCACATACTCAGCTGAATTCAGATGAAGTGTGTACATATACCTTAACTTTACAGTGCTTATTCAAAGCCAACATATGTAGTACTCCCATCAGTATTTTCTAGTATGTTTTAATTTTTAATTCTGAGACAAGTCTTCTGAAGGTAAGAATTGTAGACTTTACATGAAATGCAAGCATAATTCTTTTATGCCCTCATGTGAATTGTATGCATGACTAAATTTTGTTCAGTTGGAAAACTGCACTTCGCTTTAAGTGAAACTGCCTTCTAAGATAGATTAAATGCTTCTTTCTCATACAGCAAAAAAAGGAAAGCAAGCTATCAGACTGTAAATCATGAATGAGTATGTGGTAACTCAAGTATATTAAAGCTTGCATCTGTGGCTAGCAGTGTGGTGAATAAATTTTACATGATGATTTCTTAGTTTTTGTCTATAAGAATTCCCAAAATGATTAGTTGGTTTTGAACTTGAAGTATACAAGGTTCATTTTTGCTGTGACTTAGCAATTAATTTTCTATGCGGAAACTGTCAATATCCTTGACTGCAAAAGTGCAACTTATGATGCAGTAGATATAGGTCCTGTCCCTTTGGATTCTTTCAAGTACATCTTGCCGTAGTATAGCATCTTCTAACATCATCCTGTTGTTGCTAATGAAATAATTTTAAAGTAAACAAAATATTTATTGTCAGAAATATACAGGGTCTGCAATGGAGGGAGATTAAGTATGATCAGGGTCATTTTTGATCCAGTTTTCTGAGGCAGCAAACTAGATTTATGAAGGTTTTTCATGCTTAGTTAGCTTATATTTGTATAATTGTAGGTAGTACTTATTCAAGAGGTATTTATTACTTTTTAATTTTAAGGAGACCATTATATATCTAGGGGAAAAAAAATGCTAGGACTTTATAATGTGACACATACGGTTTTTCCAAATATATGCCAAATGTGGCATACTGTCGCATAAAGTACTTCTTTAAAAGAACAATAGTAATTTTTATATTTTAAATTATATGATTTTTTTTTCCCCTGTATGTTGTATGAAGCAGATGGAGATTGTTCTGTTTGGTTTGAATTAGGCCTGCTAAATGCCTGTATAGACAGGATCCACTTGTTCCTGCTGCAGCTACTGTAGGTGTAGTTCACCCCTCCCACCCCTTCACAGCGCTATGCTGTCCTGAACATAGGAAGACTCTCCTTATCCCCAGCACAGCTGGGGTGCTCTCTAACTGTGCTCTCTAACACAGCTCCTCTGAAGCCTGCTGTGCTGTACAGTGCTCCCACATAGTGCAGTTGTTTTGCCTTGCACAAGCACATACTGAGCCCGGCCTACTGTACCCAGTATGTTGTCCCCAAGTCCATCCCTGGGAATCTTGCTCGCAGCCAGAGCTGAACCCTGGACCAGAGAACCTGCTCCAGTTGCTAAGACCTGCATGTTCCCCACAGCCCTAGAGCATCCCCTCCGTTATACTTGGACCTTGCACCAGAGTCCTGCTGCAAGTCCTCCCTGACTCTCTATCTCACCCGCAGACCCTTTCCCATTTCCTGGGTTTTTTTCCCTCTTCATGAACACAAATAGGTTACCATGGTTACAACTTAGCAGTCATGAGTACTGATTCAAGTCTATCCAGTTTTGTGACCTGAGCATCAGCACTGTGCCATTCATGCTCCTCTGCAGCAGCCGTGTACCATTCTCACATGCAGCCTACTGCAATGTCACACTATCAGGTGCCAGGTGCACTGGATCCCATCACTAAGGAAAGGGAGTGCAGGGCTGCGCTGCGCTGGTCTGTCACGTAGGAGCTGACAGCCTCGACTATGTCTAGTGCACCGCCTCCGCCCGGGCGGAAGCTCGGGATCTCACACTTTGAGAAGTAAAAAGCTGAGAAGATGAGCTAATTTGTATGAATATGTTGTTCATTGCCTTTTGCTGTTAAGGTGCTAGTAAAAAACCCCAACGCAATCATCTGACCAATATCACTGAACAGGTATATTACAAATACTCAATGAGACTCGTAGCTCCTGTACAAGGTAGCTGCATTCTTTGTCACAGGGTGGGTCAGTGTGCTATCAACTGGAATTAAAACCCTGGAGATTCTGGCTTCTGTGCTAACACTGGTAACTCTTAAGTCACTCTGGTTGCAGAAATAGGTATATTATGCTTCTTAAAGTCTAGCTTTGAACTATATTTAGAAGCCATTATTGCCTTGGAAAGTATTTATAAAAACAAGCAAGGTAAACATTTTATACAAAATCAAGCAAATCAAAAGACATTTATTAGAGAATCTCTATGAAGAACTGCAAAAAAGTCAATGATCATGAGATTATTTTTCAACAGAATTGTCACAGTATTGCATAGGTTAGTCTTTCTTTAGGAAATAAAAGCAGTCTTTAAATATAAGCTGATACAATTGAATTATTTCCTCTGAACCTTTTTTCTCCACCCTTCATTATCTGTATGAAATTGCAGGAACTATACTACGTAAAAAGAACTTGACTATAAAGTAAAGCTTGTGTTATGTTTACATAATGTTATACTCAAATCTCTGTTTATTCTATGTAAATCATAGTTTGTTTACAACTTATACATTAAATAATACGTAAGAATAATAGCTACATTTAGTCTTGAGGAAAAGTTGAGGGAAAAAAGCATGATACCTCTCTGCTCATTTAATGCTCTCGATAAACCATTCTATTCTAACAGAACCATATGCTGAATAATAACATTTTTCTCTACATAATGCATCACAGCTCCAAAACACTTTGCTTTACTGTTGATGAAAATGTTGTTTCTTTAAATTGAATGAGTTTATAAGCAACTTGGAATATAAAAAAGTAATTAAAATTTGAAAATTCCTTTTATTTTCTGTCAGTTTCTACGTGTAGACTACATAAAGCTGGTATCAAATCAATATAGAAGTGTACTGAGAGATAATAAAAACACATTTACAGTCGTAGAATCAGAAATACCAAAGTAATTATAAAGGCTATGTTAGATCTTGCTAGATCCTGGAAATGTAAGAAACTTTAAATAGCAGGCCTTCCTACTGTTGTGTTCACACACATGCAAAAGATAACGGTGAATAACCTTACTGCAGTTTTACTTTGCTAGTAATTTACATCCCAATTTTGTAATGTGGTTTCTGGCTGTGTAAGCGATAGAGGAGGTATGAAAATGAATATTTATAGAACTCTATGAAGAAATAATCTCTTACTGACCAAAGAATCTCCCTTTCAAGATTATAAGAAGCCAAAGTAACACACATCTTTCTTCAGCAATTGTGTGAAATGTAGTGAGCCCTCAAAATATCACTTGAGAGGTTAATTAACTTCTATTACATTAAATACATAAAAAATAGTAATAAATACAAGCATTCCAATGAAGACTATTTTGATCAAGAATTACACATTGGGACCAAATGATTCCTTTTGAAATCTTATTTGGCAGTTTTTAAAACCAAGCCCACAAATGTATGAATAATTTATAGAGGATGTCTTCGAAAGAGTTATTTTGGTTTTGTGGTTTGTTTTTTGTTTGTTTGGGGTTTTTTTGAAAAAAGAAAAGCTATATGTTTATAATTGGTTGTTAGGAGAGCTGCACTTGAACTACTGAAAAGAGTCTGAGCATCTCTGTGCCACTCCATAAAAATGCCTTTATTGAATAGTTTGCTGTATTTGACAGTTTTATGGCAAAATCATCAACTTGTCATCACTTTCACAACAAAATGTATGGAAACTCCACAGTGAATTACAGCTGTACTGTT